CAGTAGTAGAATTAGAAATATTGCATTAAGAATTTTCTCTATCGATTGAAAAAAAAAAAAGATAAAAACATAAATAAAAAAGAAATTACTATTTCTCTTTCCTAGCACACTTTTTTTGGCCAGGGAGAGGGAAGTTCAAGGAAATGGGTTTTTTTTCACATTTTTTTTGGGTTATCAGAATGGATGCTCTTACCTATTTTCCAGAAATATAATTGAATCATTGAATGCATGGTTATATACTAGACATTATACTCTCACTTTTAAATTCTTCATTATTAACCGTGTTACTCTGAAATGCTATAATGATCAAACACTTAATAATGCATGTGTTTTTGACATTTATGGTGAAATTGAATTTATAGAAGACAAACAGGGAACTTTTACTCTTTTGATGACTAATTCCTTAATTGGTCATTTACAGGGGTTCCTTATCAGCTGGAATAGGTTATAAGCGAAGCTAGTAACCAACCAAAGTTGTCTGCCTTCTTTACTTCAAAAACCTCCACACCTGCTATTCTAGAAAAGTGCTCAACTGACCAAGTAATATCTAAAGGTGAGATACACCATTGATGGAAGGCAGCGTCTGCATTATATTATACTTATATAACTCTTCAATTGGCTTGTTACTGAAAGTAGGCCGTCAGTTGTGATGAAGCATTTTTAGACGCCACTGACTCAGGGGTGGAGGACATTCAAGCATTTGTCAGACTGATCAGGAAGGAAATTGTTGAGATAACAGGATGCACTGCAAGTGCCGGTATTGCTGGAAATATGCTTATGGCCCGTCTTGCTACCCGAACTGCAAAACCTGATGGACAATGTTGTATCCCTCCTGAGAAGGTAAAATGTTTAAATCTTATATATTTGTCTCCTATAAGAATTGGAGAGATAAAGGAAAGTGAAAACTCCTGGGAAAGCTGTTGTGGCCCTTATATCAGTATGTCCAACGTGTTAACTGATGATGCTATTAGATATTCTTTATAAGAAGTGAAGAACAGTGTTTAGATAGTATCCGAATTTGTTCCAGTCATGTGCTTTAGGTTCCTCACCTTTTCCGAGTAAGCAACACAGCTCAAGAATACAAGAATGACAAAACTCCAAGGATAAGATCGAAGCAGAGCTGTTCTCTTGTCGAGTTTGCAGCTGAATCCAAATACTTGTTGAAGAAATGGCTAAGATGCATGAATGTCGACTCTGCCTGATAACTCAGTTAGTTTCTGATATTTAGTTGACATTCCCATACCCAGAAAATTGTTTTAGTTTTTCTATATCTCCTCAACAAGCACTTAAGGAGGATTAAACTAAGTTTATGGGATTTTCATATGTATAGCTATGTGCTAATTCATTTTTCCATTGTAAACCTAAGCAAGAAAACCAAAAATAACTATAGAAAAAGGGACCAGGAATGAGAAGAAAGCTAGGAGCAAAGAAGATGCTATTCTCGTACCATATATCCCACATCGAAACAAAACGGAAGCAGGAGTTCAACAACGCCTAATAAAAAGGGGCCTAGGAACAACAAAGAACATACTTACCTGGACGGAGTCAATGAGCGATCATCAAGGCTCATGGCTTAGGCTAGTGACCTTCATTGCACTTTGGAGGTGCATTAGGCTAAGGTCTACCTAATAGGTGGAGCCTACGTCATAATTTGTGGCAGCGGGGGCTTGCGTTCGCGCAGCCCCTATCCAAATCATGTTTAATATTTTATTTTATAGAATTGTTATTTGGTTAATTATAAAATCTAATATAAACATAATAAGTTTTAATCAAAATTATATCATTCATTTATGTTCATGTTTTTAATGCCAATCATTTTGTGCATTTCTTTAATTTAGAATTATGTGTCTAAAATGCATTTATTCATATTGTCTTTAATTTTCTCAAATGTAAAAATTCTGTCTTTATTGGAAAAAAAAATATTCGTTATCAATAAATTAAGGGATAAGAGTCAAGTAAGCCCTCCAACTATCCTTAAATGTGCAAGTAAGTCCTTCAACTCCAAAAAGCTTCAATTAAAACCTCAAACTTATAAAAAAAAAAGGTTCAATTAGATTATTTTGTAGGTTATCTACAGGTAACCTGTAAATTACTTATTAATATTGTCTTTAATTTTCTCAAATGTAAAGAGAAGACCGGAGGGTTTCTTCACCAGACGGGGGAGCAAGTGAAGAGCATGGCCAAATGGGCAACTGATGCAGTGAAGCATGCGTTTGGAATGGTTGAGATTGAGCAGGGAAGAGGATCCTTTACGGTAATATGGAATAATAAGAAGAGGATAGATGCACCTTTGTTTTAAAGATCAACATTGCCAAAGTCTATTTTGAGGGTGAAAATGTTTTTTTTTTCCCTTTCTTTGGAGCTTATCTTACCCTTACTCTGCACTTACCCTTACTCTGCAAGTTTCATTGGCTGAAATCTTCATCGAGGAGGCTGCATGACCTTCTTCCAATTCTGGAGCTTACCCTTTAAAATTGAAAAAGACAGCGATGCCATCCTCCGGGAAGAAGAGGTGGTGGTGGACGGCAAAAAACATTAAATATAAATGAAGATTATTTTTAAAATTTGTTATTATTATTAATTAGTTAATTAAAATAAAAATTTAATATAATATATCATTTTTTAAAAAATATGTGTAATCAACCTCCAAATAAGCTTAAAAAATCAAATTAAATAAATAATTTAGAAGTTACCTGAAGGTAACCTAAAGTAACCTACAAAATAGAGTAATTACATTTTTTTGTAAGTTTAAGGTTTTAATTGGAGGTTTTTGAAGTTGAAGGGTTTAATTGCATATTTGAGTATAGTTTGAGGGCTTATTTGACCCTTATCCCATAAATTAATTAAGAGAAATAAATTTTTTGTTTTTTTTTTATGTTTTAATTAATTAAATTATTAATTGCATCTCGTAAATCACATTTGACCAAAGTGGTGCAAATAACAATATGATTTTTTTTGTAAGTTTAAGGTTTTAATTGGAGGTTTTTGAAGTTGAAGGGTTTAATTGCACATTTGAGTATAGTTTGAGGGCTTATTTGACCCTTATCCCATAAATTAATTAAGAGAAATAAATTTTTTGTTTGTTTGTTTTTTTTTATGTTTTAATTAATTAAATTATTAATTGCATCTCGTAAATCACATTTGACCAAAGTGGTGCAAATAGCAATATGAACACCACCATGGCTATTTACACCACCTACAAGATTGTTGAATTTTTTGTTTTTATAACTACTACTTTCTCAAGTCTCAACCTACTTAAGCACAAAAAAATCAATACCACCTCCACTGAGACTCAAACCCACAACTTGCCTTATGAGAGTCCAACATTGGTGCCATTACAGCACCCAACTTGTTATAGTTCAGTTGTGTTTTTTGAGGTCTTTTCTATGTATTTAAGGTGCTTGTCTATGCAGTTTTCAAAATAGAAAAATAAACACCGATTTTATCTTCTTTACTCCTGTACACATTTACGTATAAATATATATCTTGTTTCATGGTATCAAGAGCCCAGGTTTGACTTCGTCACTCAGTAAAAATGAATGGCAGTAGTATTTCTATTGATAAACTTGCTAGTGATAACTATAGTTATTGGAGGCAATGCATGGAAGCTTATCTACAAGGGTAGGATTTGTAGGAGCTTGTCTCTGATGAGGAGGTAATTCCAGATACGCCACAGAATGCCGAGTTACGATGGAAGTGGAAGATTAAGTATGGCAAAGCTTTGTTTGCTTTGCGGACGTCTGTCGGTAAGTATTACATTGAGCATGTTCGTGGTAAAGGGTCTCCTAAAGAAGTGTGGGACACATTTGAGAAGTTGTTCGCCCGTAAGAACACGATGAGGCTCCAATATTTTGTAGAACGAACTTGCTGGGATGGTCCAAGGTAATCTTTCGATTCCAGATTATTTTGTGAAAGTCAAATCTTTGTGTTCTAAAATTTCAGAATTGGATGAAGATGAGCCAATTAGTGACGCTGGTTTGCGGCGTTGTCTTATTCGTGGACTGCGTAAGGAGTTCATGTCATTTATCTCTTCGATACAAGGTTGGGCGACACAACCTTCTATCGTTGAGCTTGAGAATCTCCTTGCCAACCAGGAAGCTTTGGTGGCTCAGATGATTGGTGATAGTAAGCAGTCATTCCCTCAAGTGGAAAATGTTCTTTATACAAAAGACAAAACGAATGGCAATTCTTCTTCAAAACAACCTTCTAGCGATAACAAGCAGGCTAAAACAAAAGGGCAATCCAAAGGCACCAACATAAGTTGCTATAGGTGTGGAAAATAGGGCATCCTAAAGCGTAATTGTCGCGTGAGAGTGGTGTGCAGTCGGTGTGGGAAATCAGGTCATATTCAGCAAAATCCCTCATCCATGATCCGATTCTGCCTCAAGAGTTGCGCGAGGATGCGCTCGTTGGTGGACCTCTCGTCTCGATCCTCCGGGTTTCCCCTTTCTTGCGTTGGTTCTGGTTGGCTTAGCTCACTCTCCTCTTCTTGTTCCTCCTGCTCCTCGCTTTCTTGCATTGCCCGCTTCATTTTCTTGTTTGAGATACCCAATTGATCCACTAGCACTCGTTGCTCTTCTGGGGGCTTCATGCAAACCTCCTCGAGGGTGATGTACTGTCCCTCTCTGACATGGTAGATGTCGTTGCGGCGGAGGTTTTGAGCATTGAAAACAATCCCACTCATGGGTCTTGCTTCAGTCCGGCTTATGTCCACCCCTTTCTTTTCCATGATCTAACTCAGGATCATCCCGTAGGGTAAACTGAGCCGATTGCTAGTCTTACAGAACTCCATGTACTTCAACATAAGAGCGGGTAAATTGAATTTGACCTTATGTTTAAGAAAGTAGGCAAAGGTTCATTCCAAGCTCCCCACATCTTTTAGCTTCTACTATCTGGAACCAAACCACTCTCTTAGCTTCTACTATCTGCCAGAGTGCCTCAATATTTTACAGGAATGGAGAGATGTTGTTTCCATCTCTGCCGGACAGTCTTCAAGTATTATGGCTTCTAAACCATGGACTAAACCGCCATCATGTCTGCTTAAAGTGAATGTTAATGCAGCTACGGATCAGATTAACATAAAGATTGGCCTGGGCTTTGTGCTTCGTGACTCCCTGGGTGCTTTTGTTGTAGCCAGAATTCTCCCTGTATTCAACCTCTACAATCCCAATGAAGCCGAAGCTATTGGTGTTCGGGAAGCGCTAAAGTGGTTAAAGGCTCTCCAGTATGATAACATCCATGTGGAAATGGATTGCCTACATGTTGCCAAGAACATACATCATCAACACTTAATCTCTTCCTTCGATCTCATACTTCATGATATTAGGGAATTAGCTAAATCTTTTACTAATGTTAGCTTTTTGTTTGCTAAACGGTCCTTGAATAGGGTAGCCCACTTACTTGCTCGAGAAGCCCCTATCCAAGTCTGACTATTTGTACAGTTTTCATGTCCCTTTTCCCGTACCAATTTCGGATCTTAATTAATATATTTCTTCATTTTCTTCTCAATAAATATTTAAAAAACCAGTAGAAAATAATCATTGTAAGAAGAAAAAAAAAAATTAGATCGTGTCACAAACTCTTGTTTAATGTGTATTAACTAGTGGGCATCAACATTTAATGCACTTGTACTATGTAGCCGTTGGAGCCAAAAGTATTATGACTTTTGTCCTAGTTCTCTGACAAGATGGTACAAGTCTTTTAATGCTTCTTGTCTTTTGTGAAGATCATTCCTAGGACACTTTTTGTCCGAATGATTTACCCATCTGAGTCATAGACAACATTCTCATTGCTTCACTTAAATGAAGGTTGTCTTTTACAAGTTTGTCTTTGACTTGTTCACTCGGAGATGTTGGTCGAAAGATTGACTTTATCTTTCGTTCTTTCTCTTTGACAAGAGATCATTTTTGTCAAAAGAGGTCTATTCGAGACTTGCTCAATCCATCTTTCGCCTGGAAGCAGTTTTCGATCATCTTGTCGTCTTCATGTCTTTATGTAGACCTATTATTCTAGCCTCAAGAGAGATTCGTATACTTCATGCTGTGAACCAATCGTTGAGTTACAATAACTCTCGTTTGTCACAAGAGACCTATCCATGAAAAGAAAAATAGGGGTCTACAATCCTGAACAGTTTGGTATCATCAAAATCTAATTACACTTGTTCCTAACATTTTCTTAATCCTTATTATTAAAAGTAACATTGTTTTCCTAATATTTTTTTAAACAAATCAATCTGTTTTGCTATACAGGATATATACATACATATATGCAAATATTCCTAAAGAGGATGTGCAGCGTGCTGTTTTGGTTGAAGGGAATGTGTATTCAATAAAAAACTTCAAAGTAGTAATAAATACTATATACATACAAGAATAATAACTATTATCTATTTAAATATAAAGTAGTCGTACTATATTAGCTATTTAATTTGTAGGAATTACATAATTTTTTTTAATACAACCTACGAAATAAACAATCAATTACAAAATTATTTATTAAACAAACATTTTAATGTATAAATTGTGAGATCTAAATATGATCTATCTATACAGAGAATAATCTACGAGAAACTTAACTCGTAGTAGCGGAAGCGGAAGCACTGTGGATCTCCAGCCATGGTTGATATCCTGTTGTGTTGCCTCTTGAACGGTAGATCTGCAGAATAGGTTTAGCCGTTTTGTCTCAACGGTAGATCTGCAGAATAGGGTTAGCCGTTTTGTCTCATACTTGCTCAAAACCCTAGATGGTGTATTGGTATTTTCTGAGCAGTATGAGTATCATATAATATTCATGTATCTTGTATCCCATCAATACAAGCTTTATATAGGCACATTGGTGGAATACGGACTTAAACCTATAGGTCCAACCCAACCAATTACTTAATGGGTCTAGTTCACTTGCACCACATAAGTAAGACCCATAATATATAATATATATATTATACGGGAAAGTCTTAAATAAATTAGTTTTATGTTTATTGTTGTAATAAAAAAAATTTAATTATCTTATTTTTAAAAATGAGATTAATCTATTTTTATACTTACAATTTTATTGAAAAAGAAAACTTAAATATTTATGATTGACAACAATTAAATTATTCAGTCTAATACAGGTTTGAGAGGAAAAAAAAAATTAAAAAAAAATTGCCCTTTAGCGAGAAGCTGCTGGAGCTTGGTGGATGGCTTGGACAATTTTTCGGGTAACTCCTTTCTTGAATGGTTGGAACTTGGAATTCTATTTTGCTATAAAGACTGATACAGAGCTATGCACTATTATTGCTACATGCTGGAAAATTTGGGAGGCCCGTAATGAAAATATATGGAACCAAACCATTCTCTTAGCTTCTACTATCTGCCAGAGTGCCTCAATATTTTACAGGAATGGAGAGATGTTGTTTCCACCTCTGCCAGACAGTCTTCAGGTAGTATGGCTTCTAAACCATGGACTAAACTGCCATCATGTCTGCTTAAAGTGAATGTTGATGCAGCTACGGATCAGATTAACGGAAAGAAATGCCTGGGCTTTGTGCTTCGTGACTCCCTGGGTGCTTTTGTTGTAGCCAGAATTCTCCCCGTATTCAACCTCTACAAGCCCAATGAAGCCGAAGCTATTGGTGTCCGGGAAGCGCTAAAGTGGTTAAAGGCTCTCCAGTATGATAACATCCATGTGGAAATTGATTGCCTACAAGTTGCCAAGAACATTCATCATCAACACTTAATCTCTTCCTTCGATCTCATCCTTCATGATATTAGGGAATTAGCTAAATCTTTTACTAATGTTAGCTTTTTGTTTGCTAAACAGTCCTTGAATAGGGTAGCCCAATTACTTGCTCGGAAAGCCCCTATCCAAGTCTGACTATTCATACAGTTTTCATGTCCATTTTCCTTTTTTTTTTTTTTTCAGATATACCGATTTCGGACCTTAATTAATATATTTTTTCGTTTTCTTCTCAATAAATATAAATAAAATCAGTAGAAAATATTCCTTGTAAGACAAAAAAAAATTTAGACCATGTCACAAACTCTTGTTTAAATATAAAAATGTATTTTTTTTTATAGTCTACACAACACTGTGTGGCCCATGGTCCACATAATAATTTTCCCTCATAAGTATTATAAGTATTATATTTTGATTTAAAATATTACATTTTTATCATAAGTATTACGCTTTTCTTTATAAGTAACAATCAATTTTTTTTAAACAATATTGACTCTATAGTAACAATCAATTTATAATGATTAATATTATGATTTTTCTCAAAATATCATACTTTCTCTCAAAAATAAAAACTTATTTTAACAAAAAAGTCTTTTTATAATTTTACTTGAAAGACTTTACAGATCCTTGAATCTCACTCTTGGCTCTCTTTCTCCTTCTATAGCTTGGGTTCTCTTGCACGCTCATCTATCATTGCCGCTTCACTCTTCACCAGAGCTAACCATGTACAAATATGTATTCATCTTTTTTTTTTTTCCTCTCCTTTCATTCTTATTCTCAAATCTAGATTTCTTTAAAACTATGCTTTTATTAGGTTTTCTATTTTTTGTTTTTGTTTTAATTTCAATTTTCGTAGGTTTAGAAAAAATGACTTATTTTTCTAAATTTTTTTTGCAATAAGGGTCAAATAAGTTATCGAACTACACACGAAAATGTAATTAGACAATTGAACTCAAAAATATACAATTTGGTCCCTAAATAACACAAAATGATACAATTAAAATCAAAATAACCCATTTTACTTGTTAATGTGCTGGAGGTTATAATATTAAAATAATAATATTTTATATATTATTATATTGTGATGATTATATTGGTAAGAAATGAATCTCCCAATCCCTTTAGGATTGTGAAATATTATTTTGAATATAAAATCCCTTTAGGAATTTCTGAACGCATCATATCGCTTCTACGTACATATAAAATCTCCCAATCCCTTTAGGATTGTGAAACATCATTTTTAATACAAAATCATTTCGCAAGGCATCCCTCCGTCGTCGCAGCTTCTACGTACATATATATATATATATATATATATATATATATATATATATATTCGCATTAGCCGTTTCGATCTCCAGATCTGAATTCCCTCTGGTTTGCTCTCTCCGCATCTATTTCGCCTTTTCCGATCGGTTTGGCTGATTCTCCAGCTTCAATGGAGGGGTTGGAATGTTTGGAACTAAGGCACAAGTTGAAAGAAAGATTTAGAAAGAAGATGAAGAAAGAGTTGGGAAGTGGAAGTGCTTCAAGTTGCCGTTCGGATAATTTTGGTTCCTTCTTTGGACCTTCACAGCCAGTTATAGCTCAAAGAGTAATTCAAGAAATGAAGTCCTTATTGGAAAACCCTGATTTGGCAGCTAAAGTTATGAGGAAAAATAATATTATAGCTAGTGGTAAGGTTCATGTGAGACCAAAGTCCAGTACTAGTAACCATGCACCAAAAGCAAAAGTAGTTTCCAATGGGGGGGTTAAAACGAAAATCCAGATGCTAAAATACACAAGGGATTATTCGTTTTTGTTATCTGATGATGTTCCTGCTCCTTCAAAACCATCTTTGCCTCAAAAAGGTAATTCTGATTCACGGTCAGCACCAAAAAACCAGTCTTCAACAGTGCCTAACTTGCCTAGACAAAACCCTTCAAAACTGCAACCTTCCATTTCAAAACAGAAAAAGATGATGCCTAGCAAGCCAAAAATGATTCAGAAACCAGATGCAAATGTTCCGAAAGTTTCTTTGCCTCAAAAAGGTTCTACTCCCAATTCTTTGGCACCTTTGGATGTAAAGAGACCCATGCCTAACTTGTCTAGACAAAACCCTTCAATACTGCAACCTTCCATTTCAAAACAGAAAAAGATGATGCCTAGCAAGCCAAAAATGATTCAGAAACCAGCTGCTATGCCATCCTCAAGACCTGCTGTGGCAATGCAGAAACATTCAGTAGTGCCCTCCTCTAAACCTCAGGTTGTAATGCAGAAACAACGAGTGGTTCCATCTTCTAGACCCCCCCAGCCGCCTGTGAAAAATCCAGCACAACGCCCGGCAAAGAGGAGATTGGATAAAGAAGAAGATGGAGCAGCAGCAGCTATTAGTATGATTAGACAGATGTTTGGGTATAATCCCAATAGGTACCGCGATGATGATGATGATGATGATAGTCGTGGTATGGAGGCTGGTTTTGATGACATACTCAAGGAGGAAAGACGGAGTGCCAAGATTGCGAGGAAGGAGGATGAAGAAGAGCTACGTAAGATACAAGAAGAGGAACAAATGAGAAGACAGGCAAAGAAGCGCAAGATTATGACCAGTAATAATGAATAATATTAGTTTTCGTTCACCTTGATGTTTGCTGCTATGGTATGTATCAACAATATAACACAATTTTTGAATCTATATTTACAATTTTAATTTTAAACTCTATATTCACAATTTTTGTTAGGAATATAGCGGAATAATGGGAAAGCGAAGAATCGAAAATTGAGAATTATAGAAGTGGAATAATAGGGGAAAATGTATAAAGGAAGAAAATTGTATAAAATGATAAAATAATAATTAACAATGAAAGATATTAAATATATATATATATATATATATATATATATATATATATATATATATATATATATATATATATATAAAAGCTCTCAAAAGAGAATTAGAGGAATATATATATTAAAGCATGCGTGAGAAAGGAAGAAAGAATTCTATTTTGATCATGCATTAATTACAAAGCTACGTCACTATTTATACAACACAAAGGAGAGTTATGCGGCAATGGTAAGAAGGAGAGCAGAAGGCGGATGGACAGCATGCATGTGATGCGAAGGTTGAAGAAGAAGTCTTCATGCATTAATTAGAGCCACATAATTTGAACCATATTCTAACAATCTCCACCTTGCATCAAATTCACGGTGAAAATTAACAATTGAAACATCCGACTAAACTCAAACACTGTTTGAACTTAGTAATAGGTAGAGGCTTGGTGAGCATATCTGCTAGATTCTCCAATGTATGAATCTTCTGAATGGTTATATCTCCTGCAGTTATAACATCTCGAACCGCCTGTGAAAAATCCAGCACAACGCCCGGCAAAGAGGAGATTGGATAAAGAAGAAGAAGAAGAAGATGATGGAGCAGCAGCTATTAGTATGATTAGACAGATGTATGGGTATAATCCCAATAGGTACCGCGATGATGATGATGATGATGATGATAGTCGTGCTATGGAGGCTGGTTTTGATGACATACTCAAGGAGGAAAGACGGAGTGCCAAGATTGCGAGGAAGGAGGATGAAGAAGAGCTACGTAAGATACAAGAAGAGGAACAAATGAGAAGACAGACAAAGAAGCGCAAGATGACCTGAATATAGCAAAAGATGAAATTAAAGAAGATATGTGTTCTATCTTGAGGGTAATGGCCTGGGTTACGTTGTTGGTTGATGCGGGTGGGTTGTGGGGGGCCTCCAACATGGCATACCTTATTTTTTTTAGTCAGTAGGGGAAATTAAAATTTAATTTTATTTGATGGTCACAATTGAATTGGAATAATAGCAGCGTCCCTAACTTGCTACTGGGAAAAAAAATTCCATTAGAAAAGTGAAATGTCATTTTTAGAATCCATAACTTTGTCTAACATATATATATTTTTTTGAAAGTTACTGGCTCTATTACATTGTAGTATCAATGTATCTGTTCATATACTTTCTCAACCTACTGAAACACAAAGAATCAAACATTGTAGTGTCAATGTATCTGTTCATATACTTTCTCAACCTACTGAAACACACAAAGAACCAATAACACCTCCACTGAGACTTAACTCATAATCTTCCAAATGGAAGTCCAACCCAGGTACCATTAGACCACATAGTCCTGGTCTAACATATATTTTAAACCCATATAAATTTAAATTTTAACAGAATTAGGAGGGAAAATTTCACCCAATAATTCCGACTTTACACATCACCGATATGTTATATCGTGGACCAGGGTCTGCAGACCACAGTGCACTGTGGACCCTGGTCCAATACGACATCGTTTCGGTTAAGTTAGTGGAGAGTTGAAGAGACAGACACCGTTCTTCCCGTCCAATTCCGTTACAGTGTTTCATTTTAACACTTGTGTTTATGTGTATTATTTTAAGAGTTTATTTATACAATGTTAAAGTTTATGTGTATTATGTATTATGTTAGATTAGGTGCATTACGTTAGGAGTTTATGTGTATTATACTATACAATTTTGTACGTACGAAATAGAGAATTTTTTTTTTTTTTTTTTTTTTTTTTTTTTTGAAGTTAACAACAGAAACGGGAAACAAAATTTTCAAAAATAAAAATTGTTAATGAATAGGAACAAAACGGCGTCGTTTTGGACCAGGGAGCACAATGCATTGTACACCCTAGTCCATGATATAATTTGCCTGAGGGTAATGGGTTGTTGGTTGATGTGAGTTGTGGGGGGCTCCAACCGGGCATACCTTATTTTTTTAAGTCAGTAGGGTAAATTAAAATTTAATTTTATTTGATGATGACAATTGAAATGGAATAATAGTAGCATCCCTAACTTGCTATTTGGAAAAAAAAATTCTTTAGAATATAACTTCGTCTAAAATACATTTTTAACCTATATAAACTTAAATTTTAACAGAATTAGAGGTGGAAATTTCATGTAGATATATACTTGCTACAAATGTTGTAGGTGTTTAAGGGCTTTAAGAAGAGAGAAGGAAGAATGAACAAGAGAGTAGAAGAAAAGAATATATAATTTCAACTTTACACATCACCAATATGGTACTTTTACAAATATACCATTACAATTGTTTAAAAATTAATTCTTATAACGCTGGATGTTTTTTCAACACAATTAATAACAAAAATCTCATTTAGCAACGGTTTGCAGCGATGCGGGATGGGTTGGATGTTTCCTAGCCAACTAAGAGGGCAGGTTGTGAACTAGCCACTACTAGCTTGTTTTAAGAATAGTACCTACATTACTATAGTACATATAAAAATTTTGGCCACCTCCGTTGTAGATTGCTAATTGCCATTTCCATTTAAAGAAATCATATATTTGTGAGGTCGAATTCCAAAACACACCTCCCAAATGCACAAAAAACCCTCCATCCTTGTAACATAAGTTAGAAATATTATGCAAGTGAGAGTTTTTTTGTGAGTCATACGTGAAAAAAAATAACAAAAAAAGAAGCAATGTTAATATGAATTTCGCACACCAGCTGCACGTATATTACTTGTACCCGGCCTGCTAGGCATGTTTAAAGGTTTTTTGCATTTCTTTTTGTGGTATTTTATTTATTTTTAAAATTTAATTTTGACATTTTACTTTACTTTAAATTTAAATTAAAAGAATTATAGATTTGTAAGTCGGAATTCAAACACCCACCTTCCAAATCCAACAAATAGCATCATCTGCTTTCTCCTATATTACTATAACTCATCAAAACTCATCACGCCATTGTTGATAGACAATTGCTTTTCACCTCTTTCCTCTATTGTTGTTTAGGATTTAACCTAGATGGCTCATAGATTTGAGAGGCCGAAAGTAAAAAAATTCACCTCCCTAATCTACCTATAATATGACGAATTAACGCACCTTAAGCACAAAAACCACGGACCTTAAAAAGGAAAACCATGCACCTTAAATTTGACCTAGATGTAAAAATTAAAGGCCAAAATATCACCGCATTTTTTAAATCTGTGTTCATTTGAGACTGTTGATTTTAATTAGATCAGGTTGAGATTAAATCTCATCTTTTACCTGAGACCTATTACCGCATTAGATCAAGGACTTCCTAAAACCAAATTCCTACCCTTCATTGCAAAGCGACAGTGCTGAAAAATCTAAACAGGATGTAGACATCTCTCAACCTTCCCTTGAGCTTACCCTCCGCCTTTACTCTCCTAGACCTTAACTCACCCATGGTTTTTGTTACCCGTTGTTAAAAAAAAATTTATGAATATATACATAAAAAAAATAAAAACAAAATATATTATTTATATGAATATTATGATATATATATATATATATATATATATATATATATATATATATATATATATATATATATATATATATATATATATATATATATATATATAAAGTTTATAAGTTAGGGATTGAGCTGAATTATAATTGAGCTAAATTTATAAATTCTAAGAATATTGATAAAATTATTATCTAATGGGTTAAGAGATTTATTGACATAAAACTTGCATGTGGGCTAAAGTTTTAATTCTATTAAATCTAATTTAAAAAAAAACCCTTATGATAATATTTTAATCTAAATTACTAAATAGCCAGAAAAATCTAGTGTACATCATAAATTTAAACTTAATGATAGAATTGGAAATTATTTACAAATAACTATAAAGTAAGTAAATTGATTTGTTTCTATCATCCCCTACTAAACTATATTATGATACATAATTGCCTGTGGACTAAATTATGACTGTAGTCCAGTATTTCATCCTAATTAATTATACAAATATAACGAAATTGACTGTGGGCTAAATTTCATCATATTACATACAATTAATGACAACTTAGATCTCTAAAACTTTATGTGATCGAGATAAACTGTTTAATATATATTTTTAACTGAATAAGGATGTTGTGGCTACTCCTAGACCAATTCAAATCAAAATTATAAGATCATTAGACAATTATCAAATCCTTGCCTAACCTTTATGTCATTGAAACTTAAAAATCTTAGGTAGCTAAATATGTGGTGGCTATTCCTTAATTAACCAAGATTGAAAATTTAAGAGACTTTAGTAAATTAAAGATCCTATGACTATTCTTTAATGAACCAAAATCAATCACATTGGCAATAAATATTTAAAACTTTGACAAACTAATTATACCAAATTGTGGTGGGAAAATCTAAATATACTCCCAAGAAAGGGGGTTAGAGACAAAGTCTCAATGAAAACCAACTTCTTAGGTAGAGTATCAATTTAAAGGGGATTAGTGGCATAAGATGTTCTTAAGTCATGGTCATAAAACTAGTATGACTCCCCGATTCATATACTATAAGGTATAAACCTAAAAAACAATAAGGTATAATCCAAAAACTATATAGTTAACCTATAGAAGAAAGCTTAAAATAGTGGACTAAATTAACGGACTAGAGCAACTACAACAACTAAAGTTTATGAATAAGTCCAACTTAATAAGGAATTAATATAATACCATTCTAAAATCATACATTGCTAAAGTCATAATAAAAATGGCATAATTTAAAAAACATAATATTATGCGGTGAACTAGTATCCATAAAATTAAACATTAAAATCATATATGTTCCAAACAAATTGCATAACTTAAAACTATTTTAATATGAGCTTTGAAAGTATAAAATTTAATATTCAAACACATAATATGAGCTCAAACCAAAAGGATCCAACATTGAATAATGAAATAATAAATCAATATTCTGAAAGATTTGTTAGGAACATTTCTGTAATTAGATTTTGACAATACCAAGCTTAGAAACTTAGACACCCCCTCAGCATCCAGTTCATGCCAAGCTTCTCAATTGGAGGAAGAAGAAAAATCTTTTTATCATATTTCCTCTACGTGAAGAGTAGATAGAGGCGGAGTAGACTAAGTGTTGTTGAAAAAACTAAATCTCAAGATTGTCTCCAGCTCTGTGTCAAGAAGCAATCTTGGAGTGGTTTAGCAATAAAGGAAATAGTGGAAACCTTCACATGTTGTGAAGAATAGTGGAGTAGGCTTAATTAATAGTCGAACAACTATAAAAATATCTCTCTCTCTCTCTCTCTCTCTCTCTCTCTCTCTCTCTCTCTCTCTCTCTCTCTCTCTCTCTCTCTCTCTCTCTCTCTCTCTCTGTGTCTACTTTGAGCACTACATACATTCACTTTATTATCTCTGCATCCTAAACATTTTCTAAAAGCAACGATTCATGTAAAGATAGTTCTAAACGGAAGTCAAACCTTTTTTCGATGTGCATAAACTCATAACGAGTCGTTAAGCTATTGGACTTAACAATTCGTGAAAATTTTCAAAACCCAACGAATCTATTCACCCCTCCCCCTCTAGATTCGTTCTCCAAACCCTTTGGGATCAACAAGTGGCATCAGAGCGGTTTCCTTGACCGATAAACGCTTTGCAAATCACAAAAAAATAAATTGCATGCAAATCAAATCAATAAAATAAGCAGTGTATAAGGTATGTCTTTGATGAACACTACCTTGTGAATGGTAGGTTGCATCTTGAGTTGTGTTGTCACTTGTTATTGTGATTTGTTGTCTAGTTGAGGTTGATGATCCTCGTTCTTGTTGAGAGTGATTGATGAGTCTTTGATGTTGATCTTCTTCTGGCTTTGAAATGACTATATACTGTATTCCTCAGTCTCTAACGCTTTTGATTATATCTATATATACTATGCTATTTAACGCGTATTGATGGGTTACCAGCATTATTCGCTGACCGGGTGTTATCCCTATGTTTTACAAGTTTTGAGTAGATGCCAAGCGCTCTAGATGTGGACTCTAGATAGTGTAGCTCCTGTGCTTAGACGTTTATCTTTTGTTGGCCTGTGTGCCTAGACTAGTTGCCTGTGTGCTTAGACTTATGTTGCTTTGATGAATTGTGATAGGTTTAGCCTGTCCCCGCACCCATAGTTTTATGGGTGTGGCATAACACCTTTCCCGGTTTTAATAGCTTCCGCTTTTGATTGCCTTAATGATTAGTTGTTTATCGTTTGAATTTAAGTTTTAAAATGTTGGTAAAATCGGGGGTGTTACAGTTGCTCAGTTGGCAACGCAAAATGCTTTATCTGGGAGGCCGATTGACACTCATCCGTCACTTCCTCTAGATGGTACCGTTATACACTGCTTCTTCGCTCCTTTTACCCAAACGGATTGAAAAAGCTCTAGAGTCTAGATTTTCCAAATTCTTATGGGGTGTGGTAGATGGCAAGCCAAAAAGACATTGGGCCTCGTGGAGGAAGATGTGCTATCCTGGCCTATTGAAGTGGGTGGACTCGGGTTTTGGTCAATTGAGTACATTCAACAGACTATTTCTGCCAAGCTCTACTTTAACTTGCTACAAGGAGGTCCGCTGTGGAGCGAATACATGCGAGCCAACTACCTTGACACTACCCGTGCAGCTGGTTCAATTATGTGGAGAAGAATGCAGCGGCTCAGAGACTTCGTGGATGAGAATACAGTGGAAAATTCAGAGGGGGTACTGATTTTGTCTCCTTCATCGCTTGGTGACTTTACCTTCTCATCGGCGTATGATGCTCTACGGCTAAGGGCGGGTGAGAGTTTGTCCTACCTTTGTATTTGGGGCAGTGAAATTCCTTCGCGAATCTCGCTGTTCATGTGGAGGCTGCTTCGCCGGCTTCTACCTTTTCCAGATATTATTCAGAATTTTGGGGTGGTGAGTCTGCCCTTTATTTACCCTTCATGTTGTTGCGCGTCGGCGGATCTAGAACATTGTCTGTCCCGTTGCGTTACGGCTCAGCAAGTCTGGAGCTATTTCGGTGGTATTTTTGGTTTGTCTAGCGCTGCTACAAGCTCAATCAGGGCACCATGCCACTCATGGTGGCTTCTAGCACTAGTACAAAATTGAACATAGAAGATTGACCATAGGCCATCATTGTTGAAAAAATGGTTGCCTAATCTTAGCCCAAAAATTTGCGGTGGCAATTTTGTAAATAAGTAATCAATAATCCACCACCATTATAACTGTAATGGTTGCCTATTGTATTTTTTTTGTATTTTGAAAAAAATTAATTTTTAATAGACAACCATTTCTAATAAAAATGGTTGCTTTAAAATAGAAATTGTTTTATAATAGGCGACCATTTCTAATAGAAATGGTTGCCTAATATTAACCCTAGATCAGAACAAGACATCGCGTCTATCTAAAATAATCCTCAATCCACCGCCGCTTCTCTTCTCTCTAAGCCCTCTCTCTCTCTAAATCCCTCCCTTCTCTCTGGGACGCGACGGAGATGGAGAGAGCTCTATTGCTCTAGGGTAACTTGATGACGGAAAACGCTTCGACGCGACGGTTTCATTGCGACGGAGGTCGTCAACCGCTCTCCAAAAGCTCTGCTGCGGCCTGGGGATAACGGCAACGACGTTCCACCTTCAGATCTCTCTCAAAGGCTCAAAGGTAATGATATATTTTTTTCTTTTCTTTTGCTTTTTCCTTAAATTAGATCTCAGACCTGTCTTCTCCGCCGGAATCACACCCACCGCCGGCGAGGACTTCAAGCAAACGGCGGCGAGCAGTTCAGTTTTTATTTTATTTTATTTTGTTCATACTAGGGTTTTTTTAGTTGCAATCATCTATTATTTTTCTCAACCATTGAGCACAAAGAGATGATGATCGCACTATTGTATCATGTTTGCTACTCTATTGCATAATTGTATATTATAATGACTTTGAGAGTGTACGCAAGGTTTGCAGCTATTGCTCCGGTATTGCATATTTAAAAATTTATTTTTTTTAGTGGGACGAACATTTGCATTTCTTTACTGATCTAATAATAGATACTGTGGTATAGCGCCAACTATTTTAGCAGGAAAAATTGATCCCATCCTTTTTGAGGCTCTATTTGTAAGTTATGACTTTTAATACCATGTTTATGGATATTCCTGTGCCTTCTATTTTTTTGTATTTCTTTTTTTCATTTTAGGATCCTCATCGCCACAGAATCAAGCTTTTCTCATTAATGAACTCAAAGTGACTTCAATGTTTGAATTCCTGTCTGTGTTCTTTTCAGGCTTCCCAGTATGCTATATTCCTTTTTTGCTAGAATTCCTCAGATATGGCAGAACTTTAAGATATGGCAGAATTCCTCAAAGAGTTCATCATTCTGTTCTGGTTTCTCGTGCAGAGTAAGAGCACAGGAGAGCTAAGCTTTTTAACGTTCTTGATGAACTTTGCCGGTTCCATGGAGAAGTTCATTATAAATGATTCATTGTTGTAGGCAAACCCCGCAATTTTGATAGATCTCTCTCTTTTCTTTCTCCAAGAGAGTTTTTACCAGCATCCAAGAAGAAACTCCAATGAGTGGTATGTATCTCTCTCCCCCTCACTTTTCAAGCAGGTATATTTTAAGCCCATTTCATGAATTAAGTGTATGCTCTTGGGACCTTTGGCACTCAATAAAACCTCGTTTATATGATTTGGAAAGTTTCCATAGCGTTTGTCTCTGTAATTCTCTTTGAAATTGATCACTTTTGATATTTTCCTTATTTCACATCATTATTACATTACTTTTTTCTATGATTTCCCGCTAATGGCTTTCGTGAATGATCATCTACTTCTCTGTTGTAGAAGAGCAGCAGCTCAGAAGCAACGGTGCTGCACAAATCTGCCTTATCAAAATTTGCCTATAACATGGTATACACAAATCTTAAACTACTATTTCCTGTTTATAAGTTATGTTCCTTTTCAGTTAACTTCCATTTCTCCATTAATTATTTAGTGCACCTTGGTGGTTTACTGTTTTTATTGTTTTTATCTAATTTACATTCCTGGTGTTCCTTGGTGGTTTACTCATCTACTTTGATTGCTGGAACTGACAAGTCTTTCTGTCTTTGTTTATGTTTCATTCATTTATTGAGGAGGATAAAGTGCAGGTTTTTTTTTTCCTCCTTATGACTTATGAGTATAGTTATCTTCTTTGCTAATTTGTGCCCCAAGATGATAAGTTGTTAACTAGATTGCCATCTTTATCTGCAGTTTGCTAAAACATTCATAGCTCTAGGTAACTTAGTTACAAATGTTTTCCAGGTAAAGTTGAACCCGTCTCTTGCAGATGCTTGGTTTGAGCAAGGTATTTTTATTGGTGCTGTGATTTGTTTAGTTCAGAAGTGGTGTATGGGTGACATAATTCTGCAGTTGAGTACTATTTCCTAATGCTGATAGATATCTTATGAATTTCATGCTCAGGGACCCAACAAACAAATACTTTGTCAACTGTCAATGCTTGAAAGAAAAATGGCTCAAGGTGATTTTTCTTTATATGCTTGCTACTGTGATACATTCACTGGCAAACAATATCAAAGACGCAAGAAACAAGCTACCAAAGTGGATTGATTCAAACTAATAAAATGGAAACAAGTGGAATAATTCAGATTAGTTTGAATATTTCAGATTAGTCTTTTCCTACTGCCTATTCTTATGTTTTGTTTTATTTCATTCCTATTTTTGTGGTTCTTACCGTTGTTGCTTTTTGTATTTAAGGAAGATGCTACAAGACATCAAGGCATCATGAATTTATGTAATTTTGGCTAATGTTATTTGGAAAAAGAAGAACTCCTGATTTCTTCACAATTGTCTTTGCCTTCGTCTCTCTTTTGCTATTCCTACTTCCATCTGTAATCATAGGTAGAAGTCGAGGATCCATTCCCCCGCCCGCTCGCCACTCCAGCCCGGTACGTCGTCCGGTGATGAGATCCCATCCACCTTTGCCCGTAACAGATTTGGTATCAGAGCCGTCCGTCATGGGCGACCAATCACTAGCTGAGTCAGTCACGGCTCTACGCGGGGAGGTTCACCAGCTCCAGACCACGTTGCACGATGAGGTTCTCGACCTCAAGACTGCCATTGGATCCTTGAAGGACAACCAGGCCTCTCTGCAACAAATGTTCCATCAGTTCTTGGCGGCGAAAGGGCCTACCGAGGCCTCTAGCAGTCGCACGCACACGGACGAGGACAACGCTCCACCACCTCCGGCAAGCCCGCAGCCGCGTCCCCCTACTTCATCAACGACGGTCCCTAAATTCACTCAGCTTGAGTTCCCTTGTTATGACGGTCGGGATGACCCCACCAGCTGGCTCCACCACTGCGAACAGTTCTTCAAAACGCAGGGGACCCCGCCTCACGAGTTCGTGAGTACGGCTGCCTTTCACCTCACCGGCATCGCGCAGTTATGGCACTTTCGGCAGGACATGGAGGAATTGGACCCGAGCTGGCAGCAATTCAAATACCAGCTTATCTTACGTTTCGGTCCAGGCCTCCGTAGTAACGTCCTGGGCTCTCTGGCAAAACTCAACCAGGACGGCCGACACGTCGAGGAATACAACGACGAGTTCCAAACGATGCTCTTGCGCACGACTACTGTCCGACGGGACATGGAGGTCGACCTCTACACCGCTGGCCTAGACGAATGGCTCCGCATCGACGTCGAAAACCAGCGACCGGCGAATCTGAACGTTGCGATGAATGTCGCCCGTTCGTTTTTCCGGCGACTGGAGTGCATTCCGCCAGGGGCTGCCATGGTTTCCGGTCGCCCTCCGGCCTTTCACCGCCCTACTGCCTCTAACCGGAATCTTTCTTCCTTTTCAGGTACGGCATCGCGTCCGACCGCAGGTGCTCCGACGTCTTCGTCGCGGCCAAGTGCTCCGGCATCCGCGTCCCATTCCGCGGCGGCCCCTGTTTCCTCTGCCGGCAGCCGCTCCACCGGCAATCCGTACCGGCCGCCCATGCGCGCCTCTGCTTCCTTCCCTCCTCCTGAACGGCGTCTGTCCAGATCGGACTACAATCAGCGTCGCGCCAATAATTTGTGTTTCCACTGCGACGAACGGTGGACTCCTGCGCATAATTGCAAGCGCCTATTTTTGTTGGTGATCGACGATGCAGTGGAACACCATGGTTTTCCCGATGTTGAGCAAGAGACCTGGGATTATGAAGCGGTTGATAATCCTAGCATCTCTTTAAATGCCCTCACTGGGTCCACTAGTGGCAGTACTATGCGTGTGGCTATAAGTGTGAATTGCAAGCCTGTCACCGCTTTAATTGATTCCGGGAGCACTCACAACTTTATTGACCAGGACACCGCCACGTCCCTGGGTTTGGTAATACGAGAGTGCCCGTGTCTACAGGTTGCGGTTGCTAATGGCGAACGTATAATTGGGTCGGGCATTTCTGAAAATGTGTTACTATGTAAAGATGGGCACTTATTTACTGTTATTTTATATGTAATTCCTCTTTCTGGGTTTGAGTTAGTGTTAGGGGTTAATTGGCTCCGTACACTAGGCGCTATAGTTTGGGATTTTAATGCCTTAACCATGAGCTTCTTTAATAAGGGTCAGCGTCTTACGTGGAAGGGTGAACACGATCAATCATCTACGTCCCTGCATGCTTTACGGCCTCAGGTAACGTTGACTCACGCACTTGACCATTTATTAACTGATTTTTCCGATCTTTTTCAGGAACCCACTTCACTGCCCCCGCAGCGGGATTGCGACCATCGCATTACGTTGGTTCATGGTGCTAACCCAGTTGCTGTCCGGCCTTACCGCTATCCGCAAGCACAAAAGGATGAAATTGAGAAACAATGTGCTGCGATTCTTTCTCTCGGAATTATACGACCAAGCCGATCCCCCTACTTGTCCCCGGTCTTGCTTGTACTTAAACAGGATCGCACTTGGCGCTTTTGCATTGATTACCGTGAGCTAAACTCCATTACGGTTAAGGACAAATTTCCCATCCCCGTTATTGAGGAATTGTTAGATGAGTTGCATGGTGCGAAGTTCTTTACAAAGTTGGACCTCCGCTCGGGTAATCACCAGATTCGCATGCACTCCGATGACGTCACCAAAATAGCTTTTCGCACGCATCATGGCCATTTCGAGTTTATCGTCATGCCATTTGGAATTTGCAACGCCCCTTCGACGTTCCAAGCTCTTATGAATGACGTTTTCGGCCATTTATTACGTAAATGTGTTTTAGTCTTTTTTTATGATATTTTGGTTTTTAGCAGGTCTTGGGTGGAGCATTTGCAACACGTCCGATAGGTTTTTGACCTCTTGCGTCAGCACCAACTTCTTCTTAAACGTTCCAAATGCTCTTTTGGGGATACGCAAGTTAGCTACCTTGGCCATATAATTGATGCCTCGGGCGTCTCGATGGACCAAAGCAAGGTGAAAGCGGTTCTTGATTGGCCACGACTGCAATCTGTGAAAGCCTTGCGAGGATTCTTAGGGCTAGCGGGGTTTTACCGCAAGTTCGTCAAAGATTTTGGGGTCATGGCAGCCCCGTTAACGTCGTTATTACGAAAAAATAACTTCACTTGGACCGACGAGGCTACTTCTGATTTTCATTCCCTTAAACTTGCATTAACTTCTGCTCCCGTTTTGCAGCTTCCCGATTTCTCGGTCTTGTTCGTGGTGGAATGCGATGCCTCAGGGCTGGGCATTGGGGCCGTGTTACACCAGAATCAACATCCGGTCGCATTCTTTAGTCGGAAGCTTGCAACACGCCATCATAAATTGGCCGCCTATGAACAGGAACTGATTGGCTTGTCACATGCGATCCGACACTTGCGACATTACTTATGGGGTCGAAAGTTCGTTGTGCGCACTGACCACTATAGTTTGAAGTTCCTTCTACAGCAGCGACTTAAAACTTCACCTCAACACCATTGGATCAGTAAACTACTCGGCTACGACTTTGAAGTTGAATTTTGCGCCGACCGACTTAATACGGTCGCGGATGCTTTATCGCGCCGCGATGAGGGTACCCCTTCCCTAATGCTCCTTTCCGGCCCCGTCTCTCCTCTTTTAAGCTCTATTCGACACGAGGTTCAAACTTCACCCGATTTACAAGCCTTGGTACCACGTGTTCGTGATGGCTCGGAGGGTCCGCATTGGGTTTTTGTTGACGGGTTGTTGCATTACAAAGGTAAGATTTTTTTAATTCGTAATTCCGCCCTCATTCCTCTTATTCTTGCAGGTGTGCACGACGTTACGCACGAAGGAGTGCAGAAAACGTTATTTCGCCTATCGCAGGAATTTTTTTGGGCGGGGATGCGTAAGGATGTCCGTGACTATGTTCGTAACTGTCCAACTTGTCAGCGCTGCAAAAGCGACAATTTACACCCGGCTGGCCTTCTTCAACCGTTGCCAGTTCCTACGCTGATTTGGGCCGACATTTCCTTGGATTTTATCGAAGGGCTGCCTAAGACCCAAGGCAAATCGGTCATCTTAATAGTCGTCGATCGGTTATCCAAGTACGCCCACTTCATTCCTCTCGGCCATCCCTATACTGCTACGACTGTTGCTGCGGCTTTCTTTGGGAATATCGTCAAGCTCCATGGCGTGCCCGAGTCAATTGTCAGTGACCGGGACCCAACGTTCACGAGTCATTTTTGGAAAGAGTTGCTTCGCTTGAGTGGTTCTACGCTCGCACTTTCGACGGCTTACCACCCGCAGACAGACGGACAATCTGAGGTAATCAATCGCACCATCGCGATGTATATTCGATGCTTTGTTGGAGATTTCCCCCGCACATGGCTCAGTTGGCTCCCTTGGGCCGAATATTGCTACAACTCTTCATTTCACTCTGCCCTCCAAACCTCGCCTTTTCGTGTTGTCTACGGTCGTGACCCTCTGCGTCTGTTGTCCTACGAACCTAGGATGTCTAAGGTCGAAGCTGTGGATGTTGCCTTACAGGATCGGGACGCCTTCTTGGCTGAAGTTCGTGAGCACCTCCGTCTCGCCCAGGACCGCATGACAACACTTTATAATCGCAAACACAGGGATGTGGAATATACAGTTGGCCAGTGGGTATGGCTTCGCCTCCGACCGTACAGACAACTTTCCATTGCTCGGCGTCTTTTTCACAAATTATCTCCGAAGTATTTTGGTCCATTTCTTATTACGAAGCGTATTGGCGCAATGGCGTATCAATTAGCCCTTCCGGTGGGTAGTCGCACTCATGACGTTTTTCATGTGTCCTTGCTAAAAGAGTTCCATGGTTCCCCTCCTACAGGTACTCCGGACCTCCCGCCCATGCGCGATGGCCGCGTTCTTGTTCGCCCAGGAGATGTTTTACGCGCTCGACTTAACCGTGGTGTGAAGGAAATCCTAGTGCAATGGGCTGGCGCCACACCTGAAGACGCTTCTTGGGAAGCCTTGGATAACTTTCAGTTGCTTTTTCCTGACTTCAAGCTTGAGGACAAGCTTAATGAATTGGGGGGGGGGGGGGGGTGTGTTGATACATTCACTGGCAAACAATATCAAAGACGCAAGAAACAAGCTACCAAAGTGGATTGATTCAAACTAATAAAATGGAAACAAGTGGAATAATTCAGATTAGTTTGAATATTTCATATTAGTCTTTTCCTACTGCCTATTCTTATGTTTTGTTTTATTTCATTCCTATTTTTGTGGTTCTTACCGTTGCTGCTTTTTGTATTTAAGGAAGATGCTACAAGACATCAAGGCATCATGAATTTATGTAATTTTGGCTAATGTTATTTGGAAAAAAGAAGAACTCCTGATTTCTTCACAATTGTCTTTGCCTTCGTCTCTCTTTTGCTATTCCTACTTCCATCTGTAATCATAGGTAGAAGTTGAGGATCCATTCCCCCGCCCGCTCGCCACTCCAGCCCGGTACGTCGTCCGGTGACGAGATCCCATCCACCTTTGCCTGTAACATACTGTATCATGATCATCTAGAGCATAACCTTTTCTTAAGATAATTTTGGGATATCTTTATACATTTGCAGAGTAGCCTGGAGCTACATAATAATTTTAGACCATTTACTATGAATATATCCCTTAGGCCAGATTGACGAAATTTGTTACAAGTCCCTCTTTCAGTTACTGCCCAAAATAAGTTGGGGGACGCAAGTTGACTCTTTAGTTTTCCAATCCCTAAGCAAGTTGTAATTGGCTTGAATTTATGGTTAATAATTTGTATATATAGAGATCCATTTAATCTTATTGACCTAACTTCCTTTATTTTTCAAAATTCAGACTGATTCCCCTGTGGAAAATAACTGCACTGGTATGATAATGCCCTCGATGTGGTCTGAAGGGCAAGCCATCGAAAACAGACCGCAACATCAACAGCTATGGCATGCCGATGGATTTCATCAACCTATGTGGACTAGGGAAGAGAATTGTAGCTTCATAGCACCAGAGAACTCACTATTATGTTATGACTCGACAAATTCAGGTGATTTTTTTTCCTATACATATAAATTATTCCATTTTGCATCACTTCCATCTTCTAGAAATTCCCCCCACACTCAATATCCTTTGGGTTGAATGGACATTAAGCTTTGGTCTGCACAGATACAATGCTTGCTGTCCAGAAGCATCTAGTATGTACACTAGACGAGCATATATATATATATATATATATATATATATATATATATATATATATATATATATATTGAAGATTAATTGTATATGGTATATGGGTACAGGTCCTTTGCTTGCAAATCAGCTAAAGATGGAGATATGAAAGAGAGCAAAAGCAAAGGTTTTTGCAGTAGTTAGGCATGATGTATATATGATTTATTGTAGTAGATAGCGGGGAAGTAGAGAGGATGGTGTGAAGAGTTCCAACCCAACCGGGTATCCGCATTCCCTAATTAACAGAGAACCAAAAACTCCCATTGCTCTTATGTGAGTATAACAAGTATGACATCTATTTTATGAATGAATACTAACGTAGAGGAAAGCGGAGGAGTCACTTCGTGTGATGGATGCTTCGCTTGTTTGTATGATGAGATAAGATAACGATTCATTCATGCTTGTTTGTAAAGAAAAGATGGACAGTATTATTATGAAGTTGGAATTATTTGTTTTGTTTTCCAATATTTTTTCCCTCCCTGAAATGGTAATCTGCAGGTATCTGGCCACAGCATCTTCTGATCATACTGTCAAGATATGGAATGTGGATGGATTTACCTTGGAGAAAACTCTCATAGGTACATACCAAATTAATGTGGTTCTTTTTCTTTGATTTTTTATGTTAAATCTCTAATGTCCTCATTCTCTTATTTCACTACCCATAAGATTCTTCATAAAGTCAAATGTGATATTTCTTATTTGGAGGCATTTTTAGTCTGTATCTTGAGAATGCTTGGTCAAATCTTGGGGTGACTTATTGCCATATTTGCATGCTTCTTATTGTGTGCTTTGTAGTCTGTAACTAGCTGACATGTCTAGCTTTCCGATTTCAAACATTATAATGTCGAACCCAATCTCTAGTACACGCTAAAATAATCACAACCTTCAAATTTTGCAGCTTCTTCCGACACAACAGCGAGATTATGGTCCATGTCTACTGGCAAAGATATCAAAGTATACCAGGGACATCACAAGGCAGCTGTGTGTTGCGCTCTCCATGACGGGCCCGAACCCTCTACCCGATTCTGCAGTAAGCTAGCTAGCTAGCTCATCCATCAATTATAGATCATTTGGTAAACTGGCAAAGGATATTTTGTCCATGTCAATCTGACAATCAATATAATACACTGATCGAGTTGCACTTATGCACAGATTTGTTTGCATTTCTGGACCATGACTGGTTGTATGCAGGCCTCTCATCCTACTACTAACTAAATGTTTATTTGGCATGTTCAACAGAATCAAGTAGTGGATAAGGGCCAAGTTCTATGCTACATTGATCACCTTGGTTGGGAGATGCCGGTTGAGTTTTGGGCCTTGATTTCAATGTAATTTCTTAATGATCGAGTTGGACTACAACAATGGCTGTGTGACAATATTGTAAAATATGTAATTTCATTTTTCATAATGGTTGTGAGAATTACATGGTGCAAAATAATTATAATTTTAAAATTTTTTTTAAATTTTTTTTTTAAATTTTTTAAAAGAATATCCGCGACCATTCTTTGTGATTTTTAAAAAAATAAAAAAACAATACGCGACCATTCCTATCCAAGAATGGTCGCGTATTACATTTGAATAAAAAAAATAAAAATACAATAGGCGACCATTCTTGGTCAAGAATGGTCGCGTATTACCGACAATGCGCGACCATTTAGAAATGGTGGCGTAAAGTCCATGGCTTTCCGCGAGCCTCTCATAGGCGACCATTGTACAATGGTCGCCTATTGTCTTTTACAATGGTTGCCTATGTGCAGTTTTGTACTAGTGTAGCAGAGTCGGGTTCAACGACGGAATGATGTGCAAAGCTTATGCCATGTCTAACTCTTTAGGTAGTGTGGTGCTCAAACAATCAGGGACTTTACAGAGACGGGCCTATCTCGACGTTTGAGGCTATTAGCAGGGTAAGGCGGGAGCTATTCTTGATCTCTCTCTCCTGGACTTTTTACCGCAGGGGCTTTGGAGATGAGTTCCTTCTTACGGCTGGTTTAGCAGCACACTTTGGTGCTCCTCCGCGGAAGGACAACCGTGTGGATCAGATGGCTTACACCGCCGGTGGGAAGATTAAAGCTTAACACAGACGCGACTTTCTTGGCGGATGGGGCAGCGGGTGGGGCCTGCTTGAGAGACTCACGCGGCCACCTCATGGTGGGGCTGTGTTTCCGCCTTGAAGACTCTTCGGCCCTTGAAGCCGAGGCTTTATCTCTCCAATTTTCTCTCCAATGGTGCATCGCCTTTGCCAAGCGTCCTTTTGAGGTTGAGGTGGAATCTCTAGTGCTAGCCAATTTGACAGCGTCGGGAAGGGACAGGATATCGTTGAGGATCAGGCGCAGTGCTCTTCATTCGTTCATGTCTAAGTTCGTGGAATTCCGAGATTAGACATATCTACCGGGAGGCAAACCACGTCGCGGATGCACTTGCTGAGTCCAGTTTTGCTTTCCCCACGCATGGTCTATTTAGTTTAATAGGCTTTAAAATGAGCCTAAGTCGAACCTTTTTACTAAACAAGACAGACCTAATTAGGCCAAGCCACAGACCCCTATGAAGGGGCTTGGCTATTCCCATCCTTACCTACAACCCATTTTCTTGGCAAATTATACCATGGACCAGGGTCTTCCTTGCATTGTAGACCATGATCGAAAAAAACATTCATATTTTGTATCTATAGTTTACATATTTTGTACCTGCAGTTGATAGTTTCTGTACATTTAACTATCATATTATATGTCATCAATTATCAAGGTATATGTTTATATGTACATAAATTATATTGTTAACTGTAGGCACATAATGTGTTAACTGAAGGTACATAATATTAGGGTTCACAATGCAATGTTTGTTTACATGTATAGGAACTATTAACGGTAGGTACAACATGTGTTAACTGAATGTACATAATTTTTGTATAGGATTCACAATGCAATATGAATCCTGGTACATAGTATAACAATTGTATTTTCTTCCCCTTTACTTCATGTTCTTCATAACTATGAAACTCTTTTAATGCCTTCCAATTAAAACCTAATCATTATATATACATATACTATTTTCACCAAATATAATGGAACCCTTAAATTTGCTTAATCCCAAAATGGCTATGATGTTTTCTGACTTTTAATGTTAAAATTGTGCCTTAATCTTTTTCTTTAATTTACACTAGTCTTTGCACCCGTGCGATGCACGGAATGGATTTATTGTAATATATTAATAATATATGAATCAATATATAATTATTTAAATTAATACATCAAATATTATATAGTACAACTAAAGATATGATTTGGATCGTCTATATATTTTGATGTTATCATTGCTTGAATTTGTGCAAATAATTACTCAAATTAATAGCTATATTTAGATGTAGGCATGTGGTGCTATAACTTTGAAGATTTTATTTATCATTGTTTAATATTTTCATAAATTAGGCAAATGTGCTCGTTCTCTAACAACTCAGTTATAGAAATGAATTGCTATCCTTATTCACATGTATGGAAGATATATTTTTTTTGTCATGATATATAGCAATTTTTTCATTTAAAAAAAAAAAACTTAATATCACCGATTATATTTACACATTATTGAAACCTCTTTGTAGACGACATTGGTAGTGACAACACAATCTTGTTCATCTTGGTCTAGAGCTAACACTTTCAATCCATCAAGACGGGTTACTTGGGTGAATAATTAGTAATATTAGATTCATTTTTAGCCAATTTTTTTTTTTTATATTTTCAGTCAATTAGTCAATTAGAATATCAAATGCAGTGATATTTTTACCTAATTTTCGTTCCATTTTTATTTGATGATGTAGATATTATTATTGAATATTTCCATTCCATTTTTAATTTACCTTTACTATTGTTTTAAATATGCATTTACTATTGATAATGTAGAATATTATTATTGAAATATTTTCCTCCAATTTTTAATTTCCATTCCATTTTTAATTAAAATGCAATGATCTGACCATTTCTTTTTTTATTTTAGTCAATTATGGATCATTTTTTATTTGCAATCAATTATTAATATTAATTTCTTTTTATATTTTCAGTCAATTAGTAATATTAGATTCATTTTCAATCAATTATTATTTTTTATTTTCAGTCAATTAGTCAATTATAATATAGATGCAGTGATGTTTTTACCTAATTTCCGTTCCATTTTAATTTGATGAAGTAGAATATTATTAATGAAATATTCTCGTTCCATTTTTAATTTTTTTTTGAATGCTACTGGCTCTATTACATTGTAGTACGTTCCATTTTTAATTTACCTTTACTATTTTTTAAAATATGCCTTTACTATTTGATGATGTAAAAATATTATTATTGAAATATTTCATTTACTTCTCAAAAAAAAAAAAAAAAAAAAGACTTTGGACTACTCAATACTTGTCCACATTGATGGTTTGTAAGAGGAGCAGGAGATTAAAGTGATCGCACATCATTTACAAAGGGAGCCACGGGTGCGCTCCCTTTTGTCTTTTTTTTTTTTTTAATTTTATTTTGTATATCGTTTTGTTTGGATTATTAATAATAATAATAATAATAATAATAATAATATTATTATTATTATTATTATTATTATTATTATTATTATTATTATTATTATTATTATTATTTGATTATTGACAATTTCGTCAAAATTTTAACAATTTCGCTATTTTAACAATTTATCTTTAATCAAAACACCAAAATATTATTTAATAACTCAATAATTTGCTCCAAACTGCTAAAAACTAAAATAACACATACATTTTGGGTTAATCTTTCCCAAACCCCACTAATAATAAATAAATAATAAAAATCTAAAAAAAAAAAAGACAAATCTAAGGTTTCTTAAATAAGAACATTGTTGACTTCTCAATACTTACCATATTGATGGACAAACAATTATGTTTGTACCTCTTATATAGAAGAGCTCAAGAGCTCATCTTTTCAAACATTTTCAATGTGCGATCAAAATGATCCCACATCATTTACAAAGGGAGCCCGTGGCTCCCCTTTGTCTTCTTTTTTTTTTTTTGTTAATTTTAATTTTATTTTGTATATAGTTTTGTTTGGATTATTATTATTATTAGTATTTTCACCCGTGTGATGCACGGAATGGATTTGTTGTAATATATTAAGAATATTTGGATCGATATATAATTATTTAAATTAGAACATCAAATATTATATAGTGCAATTGAAGGTATGGTTTGGATCCTTTGTGTTTTTATGTTATCATTGCTTGAATTTGAGCAAATAATTGCTCAAATTAATAGCGAATGTGTATATGTACGCATGCGGTGTTGTAGCTTTGGAGATTTTATTTATCATTGTTCAGTATTTTTATAAATTAGCCAAATGTGCTCGTAACTTTAGCAACTCAGTTATAAGAATGAATTGATATCCTAATTCATTTGTATGAAAAATATATTTTTTGTCTAGATATATAACAATTTTTCCATTAAAAAAAAAACATAATATCACCGATTGTATTTACACATTATTGAAACATCTTTGTAGACAACATTGGTAATAGCAACACAATCTTGTCCATCTTCGTCTAGAGCTAACACCTTCAGTCCATCAGGATGGGTGACTCGGGTGAAAATATATAATGGTAGAATATATCAGTCAATTAGTGATCCTTTTATATTTTCAGTCAATTAGTAATATCAGATTCATTTTCAGCCAATTATTATTTTTTATTTTCAGTCAATTAGATAATTAGACTATTAGATGCATTGATATTTTTACCTAATTTCCGTTCAATTTTTAATGGATGATGTATAATATTTTTATTGAAATATTTCCGTTATATTTTTAATTTACCTTTATATTGTTTAAACTTTAAAATATGCACTTCCTATTGATGATGTAGAATATTATTGAAATATTTCCGTCTAATTTTTAATTTTTGTTCCTTTTTTAATTAAAATGCAATGATCTTGACAATTTCTTTTTTCATTCTAGTCAATTAGTCAATTACTCAATTAGAAATATTATTGTTACCAATTAAGCTTTATTAATTTTTTTCAATTTAATTAATATTCATATTAATTTGGATGGGAATGTTGAAAAGGGGGATTT